GCAGCTTTTTTGATGATTTAATCACTAGGCAAAACCCCAGCATGTGGACCCCATGGTAACATCAATAGCCGCATTCCAACGACACCACCCAGCTCAGGATCATCTTCACTTCAATCGTGGTTACAGCAAATCATCTCAATCCAACAGAGTTGCAAAACAAGGAGACTTGCCTAAACACCTGAGTGGTAAAATTGTCTCAACTCACTGGTACGATGCGCACAACCCAAAAACTGGATGATGGTGGGATGATCGCCGATGAGGCGGAGGATAGACACTTCCTTGACAAACTCGAGGACGTGGTCTTTCGAGTACACATCTGAAAGAATATGAAAATACACATTCTTATTCAGAGATTTAACTCACCAAGCAACGACATCGTACCGGTTTGCGCCTTCAAATCTGATCTAGGAGGTAGTAACCATCGTAATGTTCTACTAAATTGCGACAAATCTTCATCCTAGAAGCGGGACAGCAGCTCCACCCAACCGCACAGTGACTGCATCCAAGTCATGCCTCACAACTCCCCAAGACGACTGTATGTAATTTTAGCAAAATACATGGCATGTGTTTGGCTTGTCTCAATTTCGAAGTAGTCCACCTTATATCAGGACTACAGTCGCTACCACCAACTTCCACTCAGACAATAGCAGCGCTCACTGCCAAACCCATTGGCTCCTAAGTAGCGAACAGCGGTCATTTCGCAACTGCAAACTCAACTCCGCAAGCTCATTCGGTTAAAGGAGGGAAAGCGGCACTTTAATCTACACAAAACTCACTTCTTCAGCAATCGAACATGCTTTGCAGAGTTTGTCAATGAGCTTTCCCAAAAAACGCTAAAATAGGAGTGTTTTGCTCTCATCCCCCATGCCAAGTCAATCCACTTCGTGACTACGCAAAGACAAAGTCAGAAAGAGCTTACGAAATATCTGACTAAACGCTACGATTTCGAGCAGTCACTTCAATGCACGGGAGATCAATTCCGTCCGCCACCAAAAATTAAGAAGTTTACTTTCAACACTCATAACCAACCGCACCGTTGAGCATCTTTGCGACAATGGGACGCGGAGGCTCATGCTTCTCTCTCGACAAGGACGCCAGAAGCACTCCCCTCACGACGTCGCCGTACCTCCCACTAGCAATACGCCCCTCCAATCGAAGACTGCGGGCAGAGAGAAGCCATCCGGTCCTGCGCAACTTTGCGCACTCCAGTGCACCAACCTCCTTTGTGCTAGCCACCACGTTGTGGCGATTCTTTGACCCTCCCAACAGAGGCGTAGGCAGCGGCGGAGTACGAAGATGGCGCCCCAACAGCAAAGACTTCGTGTAGGTCTCCACCCTTCTCCACACTGTACAATGACGACGACTGTGATATCGATGTCGCCATAAACAAGATCCTGTACGCAGAAGAATTGGCAGCACCAGAAACCCGCCTACACTCGCGTAGGTAGGCATTGAGGCTTCGCTAGCGCCTGGCAACTCTACACAGGTAAAATTAGATCACAAGTCCACCTTGTAGCAATGTTAGGTTAGTCGACTGAGATCTCATAAGGGACCCATCAAACCCAGTCCTTCCTATCAGCCACAATGCAACCAACCTTTTACCTCCTTCCCCCATCGAAGCTCCCGACACATGACAAAGAAACCAACTGCAGCCGAACCATGGTATTACAAGGCCAAACGGAGTTCTCTTCTGGCCTCTCTGGGTCCAGGTAAGAACACAGCTGCCGGCGCAGGCCACTTCCTCACCACGCCTCATCCAACTAACAGCTCCGAGGACTAACAGAACCAACGTGGCCTCCAGTAACACAATGTCAGAGGTCGACTCACCGAGTTAATCCACTTCTCATCTACCATCTAATGCTCACTCGACTCACTTCGAGTCATTGGCAATCCTTAGCCAACTTCACGCCTTCGAGCAGTCATGTCCGGCGGATGATGGGGCATGAATCCGTGAATGTATACAGAAGAAGGCTTCCCAATTGCTACTTTTGTGGTACGGGTGAAGCTGTTTTTGAAGACACACCAAACTAGTCCACTTTCGTCAATTCTAAGCTATAATTTACCAAGGCTCTAGTGCTGGTCTCTGCTCTCCCATTACCACTCAATAATCCCGTACATCCAGCCTCATGTCCAAACTCGCCTTGATTGGAAAACAACTCCTGTCCAGCTTCCCATGTCCTTTTCCAGGCAATCTGCGCCTCCTACCACATCTAATCCACTCACACTCGAAGCGCTGAATTTGAAGTATCAATGCCACACTGGGAGAGGCATTTCAGCCATGCCTCCTCTTCCTTTTTCCATCCATCCGCGATTAATGCTTGGACATTTAGGACATCTGGAAGTCTGCGTTGCACCAGGACCCAAAAAAAAACACTTCTGAAGCAACTAAACATCGGCATCAGGCCTGAGCGCAGCCGCGCTTGCAGCATGGTGAACACCTTCCCGATGCCTTCGACCACTCCCAATCGTCATTGTTGCATGAAGGCCCTTATCTTAATATCTGGACCATCATTTTGGTAGCGATCTTACAATACACCTGATTGGTTTGACGACCATATCGCTGGTGCAATATAGTGAAGGAGTGTTAGGCTATGGAGCCTGAAGACCAATCGCTTCCAGCACACATAAGCATGACTAGCGTCGTATTCACTACCGTTTACCTCAACCCAGATGAGAGTGGCCCTTTGCCTAGTCGAAAAACGAATTTAACCTGCCAAAGACGCACTTCAACATCACACAATGTGGTCAAGCTTCTATAGCACCCCATCAACTCAAACCACTTGTCAATATTTCTCCCAGCCGAAGAACAGAGCACTCTCAATCACTTAAAATTCACACCAGCACTATCCATTTCGTTAACTCAGTACCTACCCGGAGGGAAGCAGCTCATGTGAACGAGCTCCAGTTGAAATAGGGGCCCGTAGACGCATGCGACAACATGACTGGATTGACAGTCAAGGGAGACATTGCCCCTTAGAGTCGCGTCAAACAATCGATACTTCTCGTCCTCCATGCGGAGTGTCGTATAATTGGACTTCTACAACAAAAATGAGAGGAATACAATTACTTCCCTCCCACGGATCCAGAAATAGGAGCGTGTGCAACACCAGGAAAGCTGTGAAGGACGTTGACTAAGGCGCTTGTTCTTCAGCGTTAATAACCAGGACCACTCCAAGACGGGGGAAGGTGGTAGGCACATCGAAGGGGGTGATGGAGTTTTACACCACAGCACTATGTCCCGGTTATCCTATCTTAGCGCCAACTTTAGGCGTGGGCTCACCTCTGCTCAAACACACCCTAAAATCCTCGCAACTCGCAGTCACCCTACAGTTGATAACATACGCTAGCACAGCGCTTATTATTATTTTTATCATCATCATTATTCGAAGTTGGCCGGCAAGTTGACCTCAATTTACTATCTGATACTACCCAACCTATCTCGCCTTGGAGAAATTCCATTCATCATTAATGAATTAGTGAGTGAAGCAGAGCACAGCCAGCCCTTAACAAACATCGTTTTCGAAAGCCTTCAAACCGAAACTCCTCATAGGTATAAACCCCACGCCAATTCCACGAAACGATACAGGCAGTCGGTGAAGTTGGTGGCTCGCAATGCCAATCCTTGTGATTCAACAACTCGTGCCACTAAAACATCCGGGCATCAGTACGGGGTGAAAGAAGGTACCGCCTCCTCAGAAGCCTAAGCAGGAATTCATCCACCTTAACCAATATCGAGTCTGTCATCCATCGCCTCCTTCTCTATTTGCTGAAATAAAGATCTCCATTTCCATTCTCAATAACACTCATACACATTAATTGCATTCTAAAGAATCGCGGCGATCGGCCTTATTCGCGTCTCCATTTTGAATTCATTCAATCAACGGAACCCATTCTTCCCCACTCCTATTCCATCGCGTTCCATGGGAATCTATTTCCACTGCTAAGGCGAAACTGCCTAACAAGTAAAAAGTGGTCAAGGAGCACAATTAACTCACTGCAAGGCTCACCATTCGGGAATGGGTGCTTTTACAAGAAACATCCCTAGAACAGACATCATACAGAAAGGAAAATCGTCACTAAGACTTCCTCATAGGCGTTGATGCTTGCTCTTAGCCTCTAAGGGATTGCATTGTTTCAAATCGACCGGTCCAACACGCAAACGGGAAAATTTAATGCTTTTAAATGCCAAAGCAGATATCCTTCAAACATTGGCTTTCTGCGAAAGACCACAAACACGTTGCTATGAGGCATCAAATCAAGAGGACAGAATAACTCTCCCAACTCCTGCTGCCAAATTTCCTGACTTACAAGCAGAAGTTTGCCGTATCCCTCGATGAGTCCGTCAAATGGCGATCGCCCAGAGGTGAATTTTTCCACTTTGGCAAAGAGCTCGATGACACGGACATCGGAAGGAAGCCTGATGAGTTGTATAACCTCATCAAACACCACAAAGAGGGACCGGGAGCACACAACCTGGATGGTGCCTTTGTTGTCAGTCGGAGAGATCCACAACCGCAGAAAGGAATTACGTTCACAGGCATTCAACTCCTTGATAAGGGCCTGTATTGATAAAGACTTGTTGGGAGTTTGGTCACAGCCCTTCCCAAAGCGCTCTATAGCAGTCAGCCTGTAAGGACAAAAACAAAACGAACGGTAACAAGGAAGTCACAATTCCAGAACATTGACACATTCCGCCAATAATGGGCGGCTTTTCGGCAGCACGATTGGTTGGCACAAGCAGAGCGCAATAACCAAAAAATGCAAAAA